CTACATCAATGTTTTGACATCTTAACTTTGGGATTTGATTGTCAGGTGGAAATGATGTGTCTGCCCATCTGCCTTGTTAACAGCCATCCCAGTTTCTGGGAGATTGCAAGCAAATCTCACAAAGTGGAGGCATCTACATTCAATTCCAAACTTTGTTACCAGGCTAGGTCGTTAAGAGATACCACCCATTCCATTGGTTCTCTTTCCCCATCTGGTTAGTTGTTGTCTACGTTTTCCTTATTTAACAAAAAGGAAAGCTCTACATTTTATGATTTTCATTTCACAGCTTTTAATTTCTAGAGATTGAAAGCTAGGTAAGCTCCCCAGGCTTCTCTTCGATTTTAATCAAATGTCTAATATTGGAGTGGCAAGGAAGGGAATATTTTACATGTACAGGATATGCAACCTGAACAAAGATAAGCTTGGGTGCCGCATGAAAAGTCTTTAACTTTTTAAAAATGCAGTTTGTGAACCTGCAATACAGACAATACAATGCCCTCTCTGTAACAGACATTTAATATATATCCAAAGGTAGTATCCAGAAATCAATAAACCAGGGAGACAGGTCACCTCCCAAACACCATTTAATCAGTGAGGTCACCAATCTTTGAGTGGTGTGGTGGGAAGGAGTTTGGAAGTCAAAGAAGTCTTCATTTAGGAATAAAGGGCCATAGGCTCCATACAGAGATAAGAGGGGAAATGTATTCTCTTATGTAAGGTATTCATGGCAAAACCCTTTAAAAGAGCTTTATTGAGTTATCATTCACATGTCATAGATTTTCCCATCTAAAGTTCACAATTAGAGGGCTCTTCGTATACGCTCACGGACATATGAAACCATCATCACAGTTCATTTTAAAAAATGTCATTATCTCCACGAAAGATACCACATCTTTGGCTATTTCTCCCCTACCACCCCCTTATTCTCCCATCCCAGCCCTAAGCAGCCACTAATCTCTTTTCTGTCTCTATACTTAGATTTCCCAGTTCTATATTTAACATGAATGGAATAATATGATATTTGTTCTTTTGTGCCTAGCTTCCTTCACTTAGCATCATAGTGTTCTCAAGGTTCCTTCATGTTATAGCAAGTGTCAGTACCTCATTCTGGCTGAATAATAATCTACTCCACTGAAGTTAGTACATTTTAATGATCTACTATCTGCTGATGAACATTTGAGTGTTTTCACTTTTTGGCTATTAGGAATAACGCTGCTCTAACTATTCATGTACAAGTTTTCTGAAGGACATAGGTTTTCATTTCTCCTGAGAGAAATAAAATGTTGGGTCCTATTGTAACTATGTTGAATCAATTGAGGAATTGATAGGCTTTTTCAAAGCAGCTGCATGATTTTACATGTCTGTCAGCAATGTAGGAGGGTTTTGATTTTTACACATCCTTGCCAATACTTATTATTGGATTTTTGGATTCTAGCAATCCTAGTGGGTGTGAAGTGGTATACTATGGTGGTTTAGATTTGCAGTTTCCTGATGATTAATAACTGCATACCACCTTTGGATTGAGCATCTTTTCATGTGTTTATTGATCATTCATAATTTTCCTTGGAGAAATGTGTATTTAGAGTCTTTGTTCATTTTTTTCTTTTTTTAAAACTATATCTTATTGATTTTTTACATAGAGGAAGGGAGAAGGATAGAGAGTTAGAAACATCGATGAGAGAGAAGCATCCATCAGCTACCTCCCTCACACCTCCCATCAGAGATGTGCCCACAACAAAGATACATGCCCTTGACCGAAACCAAAGCCGGGACCCTTCAGTTCCCAGACCGATGGTCTATTCAGTGAGCCAAACTGACTAGGGCAAGATTCTTTGTCCATTTTTAATTGAGTCAAATTAGGTCTGAAACTGATTTGTCTTAATTATTGAGTTATAAATGTTCATTATATATTTTGGATACAATTTATAATTTGAAAATACTACCATTCTATGGGTTCTTTTTTCCATTTTATTTTTTAGAAAGTATATTATTATTAATTTCAGAGAGGAAAGAAAAGGGAGAGAGAGAGAGAAACATCAATGATAAGAGAGAATCATTGATTGGCTGCCTCCTGCACACCCCCTACTGGGGATCCAGCCCACAACTTAGGCAGTGCCCTTGACTGGAATCAAACCTAGGACTCTTCAGTCTGCAGGTTGATGCTCTACCTACTGAGCCAAAACTGCCAGGGCTTTTTTCATTTTCTTGATGGTGTCAATTCAGGTATTTTTGAAGGACTGATAAACTTTATTCATTCAAATTATCACACTTAAAAATGGTTTTGCTTTTAATATAGTAAAGAACATATTATTAATGACGCATGTATCTGTAATTGTGGTTTTTTTTTTTTTTTTTTTTTTTTTTTTTAAATATATTTTTATTGATTTTGTACAGAGAGGAAGGGAGAGAGATAGAGAGTTAGAAACATCGATGAGGGAGAGTCATCGATCAGCTGCCTCTTGCACACCCCCTACTGGGGATATGCCCGCAACCAAGGTACATGCCCTTGACCGGAATCGAACCCAGGACCTTTCAGTCCCCAAGCCGACGCTCTATCCATTGAGCCAAACCGGTTTTGGCTGTAATTGTGTTTTTGTTCTTGGTTTGTTTGTTTTTTATTCCTACAGTAGAAGTGAGAGATCACACTATTGGGTATAAAAGCAGGAGGAAGCTCACAATTCAGGAGACCTGGGTTTTCTCCCTGGTTCTGTTATTCCCAGAGTGCCACTTGCCAAGTTAATCCTCTACTCTAGGTCTTATTGTTCTACATAAAATATGGGGTTGAACTAAAACAGTGTTTCTAAAATATTTTTAGTGAGTAGGAAACTTATTTTCAATTAAATGTTAAGTGAAACCCTAATATGTAAGATAAGTGGGTTTTCAGTTATATAAATTTATTATTTGAAACTTGAATTTATAATATTTCTATATAATTCAGTCAATGAGTGTAGGGGGATGATACTGATGCAAACATTTGAGACCCATGAATATGGGTGTTAGTTGGAATCACAGTTAAGATTTAGTTCAGTTCTATACTCTGTATTAACTTCAGAAAAATTCCGATGTTTAGGTAAATCACAAAGGATTTCTTGCAAATTGAATGAGTGCTTTAAAAGCTCACGATAATCTTCAATTAAACAAAGGACAGTAGATTTATTTTTTGGTGCATTGTTTCTGTGATAAATACTCTATGCCAAAATGTCTCTTTTGAAAAGTAAATCTGAATCAAGCATTCATAGAATAAAGTATAAAAGCCAATCATCTACAAGAATATACCTTCCAGGTTCATAAATTTAAATATTCATTTATAGCTTTTGCCCAGTCCCATTGGGATCATTTCTGATACTCTTGGGCTGATAGGGCCTCTTATGGTCACTGATTTGGTAAAGCTTGCTGACTCTTATTCATTTTTCTTGAGAAAAGGACAGACAGAAAAAGAGGAAAGGAAGAAAACAGCACACTTGATGGAAATAATCCCTCACCTCAACAAAAATACCTCCTTCAGCAGATATTAAGAATTCTCCTGAACTAAGACACCCAGAAATTTCATAACAGAGGGTCTCCAGTTTTGAAGGTAGACAAATTTTCAGGCTTGCCACAAACCCACAGCCCTGGAGGTACCAGCAAATCTCTAGCAGTGAAGTATGGGTTTCACATGGATAGTCATGTGCAGAGTCCTCTGATAAGGCACTTGGGTAGGGATCTCAGCCCCATAGTCTTTTTTGAATGTTTTTCATAGTTGCTCACCAGATATTTTAGTATATAAATAGGGTGGCCATATAAGTTGTCACCCAAATTGAGACAACTCAATTTGAGAGTGAAAGGTAATACTATCAATCATTAGCCTGGGACAACAGTTGTAAACCAGGCTGTTGCCAGGCAAACTGGGGTGAAAGGTCATCCTGGTTAGGAACCAAGCTCTCCCCAACAGGAGATAGTGCTAAAAAACAAACAATTGGCAGATATGTATCACCAATCTGGCAAAATATCAACATGTCTCCAATGAATCTTTACTATTTTAACCTGAACCTATCTTTTTAATTTTTAAATGAAGCCTTTGAAATTTTCCTAAGATGTAAAGTGGTTAGTCAGCCTAAGGAGCCTCTGCTATGTTAAGGGGGAAAATCACTTCTGAATGCAGGGTACTGACCATACGTAAGGGAATATAGAACAAATATGGAAACCGTAATTGTTTTACTAAATATGGATTATTTAATACAATTTGTTTAAACTACAGCAATATAAAATAATTAGTCTGTACATTCTTGGAAACACATGTCGGTTATAGATGAATATTTTGGGGTTTTTATTTTATTGGTTCCATTTTCTAAATGTTTGAATAATTTTCCTGTCCATATTGCTCTATTTTATATTCCTTGACACAGACAAAGATCATTTCTGTCACCCTTCCTTCCTTCTTTTAGTTCTATTCATAGCATCATTTTGTTTATTCTTCATATGGTTATTCTTCATATGGTAAACTCTCAATCCTATATTAATTAAGATATTTTTTACAATCTTATTATCAAATCCACAAACACTTCCCTGATTACAAAGCATTTTTTTATCCCCATATTCATTAGATCTTCATTCAAAGCTTTGCCATTCCTTTGTTATGTTATTAAACATCTGGCGGTTTGGAATCTCTTCTAAAGCTATTAGTAATTTTTTTTTTTTTTTGGCCTCATATCAACATGTTCTTAGCTAATCTACTTTGATGGTATCAGTCTCATAACTATTTATTGTTAGTGAAATAAAAGAATAAAAATAGAATCCCTCTTTATAATTCAAGATATTCATGGAAGGTTGGTTATTATGATAATGCCTCAATGAAACTTTCAGTAGTTATATATGTGTTTAGCCATAACATAAAATAGTTTACTATTGATTTTAACATTTATCCTTTTGAAAATAGGCACTAATAGTAATATTAGCTGGAGGAAAGGATGAACAGGTTTGGTCTACTTTTCTATTTATCCATGTCTTAAAAATATACTCACCTCCTCCAAAAGGTCCCCATATGACTCGGCGAATGGACTTCACCCAGTCTTCCATATCATTCTGGGTGCTCGCCATGAGGAGGTAGCTCTCATGATTTGCTGTCATCCGTTCTCGATCGCCTCCTGTAAGAAGATAGTCACACATGAGAGTGTGCTCAGCTGAAGATTCCCCATCAGCAACCTCCTAGGAGTTCCTGACACACAGACAGAGGCAGCCAGCACTAGGTTCTACCCAATGAATTGGAAATATTTACCATGATTTCAATGTGGTGGGGAGAGGGGAACCTGCTTAAAAAGGAAATACTCTTATGTTTCCAAGGGAAAGCTGGAAAACAAATACCACTCCCCAGACAAAGCCTGCCTTTTTGTCCTAGCAACAACCCATGGGCCTGCATTAACTCATAAGCCAGTCTCTGCACACTGCACTGCTAAAAAAGGAGAAGCAGCAAAAGCAAAATGAAAGATGGAAATGAGATCAGCAGAGCCTGGGGTTTTGTCTGTAGCAAGTGCCTGCACAGTGAGACCACCAGCCCAGCATGGATGAGCTGGGGAGTTCTAGGAAGCAAAAGAGCCACATGAAAAACTTTTGACCCCAAGGTCCTCCTCTATCGCTCTGTCCTGGCAGGGAAGCCTTCCCCCGAGATCATACCTTCAGGAGGGCACACAGAGAGGAGAGGAGATACAATACTGGCCAGTCACAGGCCAAACCAGTGCCCCTCTCCCCCCCACACCCCTTGCTATAGGCCTCACTCTGAAAAGTGAGACTTAGGAAACCCCAGTGGTGCCTCCATACAAAAGGTTGATGGATGGATCACCATTTAATTTTCACTAAGTGCTGCAAAATATGCAGCCTTGGGTTGAATTAATTTGTGTCCAAGGGCTTTGTTTTGTTAAGACAGCTGCTGTTTGTTTGTATTAAGATGCATCTCAATACCTTTATGAGACGCCTGCAGACTCCAATTTACAGCACTGCCTTTTCTTTCACATCCACTCTATTCCCCACATAGCTCTGAAAGCTATAGGCATTTGAGTTTGTGACCTCTGAATTCTATACAAATGCCCTAGATTGAGAAATACAACTATTTTACCACTGCTGCAAATTTATAGAACAAGTGAAAGGTTAGAAAAGTGAAATAACCTTAAGCCAACCAAAGAAACAATTACATTGGCATTTTACATTTTAATACCACTGGGTGGAAATGGGAGAGGGACCAAGGGGCATCTCAAATAGGTTTCCTAATGTCTACAGGTCTCTGGAATAAATAAGACTAGCCATTTCATATTTTAAAGAAATCTCACTATTAAGGAAACAATGACATTCTTACACTTTTAGGTGTATGCTAGGTCAACCATCACTTTAACAACTTTTACCTGAAATAGCATAGGTTCAGGAATCAAAAAAAACCCTCCTAAACCCTGGTCTAGTAGCTCAGTTGGTTAGAATATCATCCCCATACACCATGGTTGTGGGTTGAATCCCCAGTCAAGGCCCATACAGGAATCAACTAATGAAAGCATAAATAATTGGAATAACAAATCGATCTTTCTCTCTCTTTACTCCTCTCTCTCTCTCTCTCTCTCTCTCAAATCAATAAGTAGTAAGATATTTTAAAAAGAGAAAGAAAACCTTACTGAGATTGTAATTCTATCTTATATTAGCTGTTTGCCTTCTGGGAAATTATATAATTTCTGGAAATTCACTATCTTGAAATAATAATCCCTATATAATAACCTTTCATGAGAATTAAATGTAATAAACTAGAAATACCAGCACTATGTTAAGCTAAAAGAGAAATTCTGTAAATATTAATTTAGTCTCATTTTACTGCCTCTTATCCCTAAAAATGCTAAAAGGATATATTACACTTAATTTGAACTGAGAGATGTTATGTCTAGTAAGTGCTTGAGAACAATTTGTCAATAGTGCACATATACAGGGATTTTTAAAAGGTTACCTCTCTTTGATACATAACAATACACACAAAATTGTCCTGTATATGTATGCCATACATTAGTACGCATATTCATGGTTGTATGCCATATAAAGCGGCAGAAAAAACAACTGAATGACAAAAAAAAGATGCTTCATTTAGCATGGCACAGAACTATAGGTTTAGTTTGTATTCTGATTCACTTACACTATAGCATTGGGCCAAAAAAAAAAAAAAAATTACCATTTGTAGTGAGAATATTTTAATTATTCTCTTTGCCAGAAGGATGGCTGGCAATTTGGACAGCAATATCCTGCTGTGTCACTCCCAGCCCAGGCAGCAGCAGCCCTGGTAATGAGAGTGAGTGACAGCGGCTGCAGTCTCTGCCTAAAAGCAGAGAAGAAAGGAGAATGATGAGCACAACTGGCCATTATCCCCTGACTTTTCATGTGATTCTCTCTCTCTGCGGGTGGTGCTGCGTGTCTCACCCTAAAGCTCATTTAGACTGCCAATCACAGGTATGACAGCCCATCTGTGAATTTCCCTCATGGATATAGAGCGTCAAGCCCTAATGCATTAGCAAGAGCAGAGAAAGACTTTTTCTATTAGATTCAGTGAGAATGCAGACTCATTGGTAAGAATGCCATGAGAACAACTGGAGGCATTTATATAGATATAAACTAGATATCCTGTACTTAAAATATGTGATTTCTAACTGGAGATGCTATCTGTTCTAATTCATAACCCTTCAGTTCTAAAGGCCTGCTACTGGTACTGCACCTCACAATGCAGGGGGCCCGAAAACAGCTTATTATTAAATGCATGGTTAAATAAATGAATAAACTCAATATTGACTTTCAACCATGTGAATCAAGTTTTACTCTTGGTTAATCCTTTATGGGGGTTAATGACCCATTTAACCATTGTGAATCTCAAATTCTTTCCAAAGGTAAAGTTTTAAAAAGCAGCCTTGAAACTTATCACTGGAGGGAGTGTCATTGTCATCTTCGATCCACATGTATGTATGTATCTGTATTTATGTCTATATTATAGCCATTATACAATCTCCATTCTTAAATTCTGCTTCAACATAAATTCCTATGTAGTTTTATTTTTGTTTTAATACTGCTTTCTATGAAAGTGGATTGTACACATTTTAAAGGGTACAATATATTGGTAAATTATATACAACTTTTAGATATTAACTCAGATTGGTAGCAATGCTTTGGTGGTAGTGTTAATACTCAAGCATTTGTGATTTGAAGTTAACTAAATAGGTTACACCATTTAATTTTACTTGTTTATGCATGTTAGTGAAAGGATTTGTACATTTCATTGGGATCTTCTGTATATTTGGATTAGATATAAAATTTTCTTTCCCAGAAATAAAACATATTCTCTGAAATAAAATAAATAATTGACATGTTTGACTTTGCAAAAATTTAAAGAAGATTAAGAAAAGTTTCATGAATCTAATAGACTAAGAAAAAGCTTAATCTAAAATTAAAAGGCAGGCTAAAGAAAATTACATTAAAATAAAAGCACAGTTAATTAAAAACAGGAATACAAATATCCATTTATCATATGAATAATTACAAAATAATATTTTAAAAATAGTTTTGATAAACAACTTTGCAAATAATTTTTTTTATTATTTGTTTTAATTCTCACTCAAGGATATGTTTTTATTGAATTTTAGAGGGAGAAGAAGGGGAAAGAGAGAGAAACATTGATGTGAGAAACATCGAACCTGCACCCTATATATGTACCTTGACAGGAATCAAACCTGTAACCATTTGATGCATGGGATAATGTTCCAACCAACTGAGACACTGGACCATGGATTCAAAGACTTTAAAAAAACTTTAAGACAGGCATTGGAAATGGTGTTCCAACATATACATACTCATTGTTTATAAGAGCACGAATAATATTCCTTATGATGCAGTCACGAAATTAGGGTTTTGAAGAATATTTATTAATATGAGGTTTTATTACACAAAAGGAAGTATACAAATTTTACATATGATACTAAATTAGTTTTCATATAAATAGACAACCAGATAAATAAGATACTAGATTGAAATACAGAATAATGTTAACAATGGTTATCTCTAACTATTAGGATTAGAAATTTTTTTCTCTCTTTTTTGTTCTTTTCTGCATTCTCCAAATATTGATCCATTTGTTGTTACATAACACAGATGTTATTTCAGATGTTCTATCATATATTATTGTTTTATCATAGAAATTATTTAAAAGAACAAATTATAGGAATCATAGAGTCAAAAACGCACTAATAAAAAAAAAAAAAACCAGCATGAGCTGAAGATAATTACTATTAACCTCACTGTTGCCTAAGATGGCTCACTGAACTCTCACAAATTTTCCTTTAACCTTCTCTCTCCCCCATACTGACCCAGAGCATCTCCCCAAAGGAAGATTTGGAACAAGAGACCGGTGTTGCTCAAAGTGTAGATGACACCAGGTAACTAGGACCTCCTCAGTGTAAAAGAGAGACTACTACTATTCTGTGCATTACCTTTCTTTAAAAAAAAAAAAAAATATATATATATATATCTAAATAAATATTTTATTGAATTTATTGTGTAGAAATTTTCAAAAAATAGTCACCAAAAAATAGTTTTGTTATTTTTTCCTAATGAAAAGTTATTGTAAATTGTCAAAACTATGAAGTGAAAAGCCAAACAATTACTTAGAAGTGATGTATTTATATGTGTGCCATCTGAGTAAACAAACCTTTAAAGAGATGCAGAGAATAATTTGTCTGTATTTGAATTTTAAAACAAGTTGCTCAAGGGAAACTGTGGTCATAGGCATTTGGGTTCCTTTCCAAACAGTTCATGAACAGACCTGAGGACATTTCAGTAAATACCTCTGATCCTGTTAATAATTTCAAGGGTGAACTGTTTCCTCATTCCCAGGTACAAATCAGGTTAAAGCCAGACCTATTATACTCTCAGTTTTATTATACTTAAGAGAAAAATATTTCAATGTTCTAAGTTGGGTTATTAATTTTCATTCATACAACTACAAAGTCTTTTTTTTTTTATTGAAGCATTATTTTTCTCAAAACTTAGTTTAGGTCTTAATTGGCAGTAGAACTCTAATGATAAATTACAAGATATAAAGTAAATTCTGAAGCATATCAGTAAAAAATTGCTGAGATGG